TATATATATCATATGTATATCATAATAATACACATATATATACATAATATATACATATATAAATAATTATATATATAATATATATATAATATTATATATATATATAATATAATATATATAATATATATATATATATATATATATATACTATACGTAGAACCAGCCCAGCGCGGACTATAATTTTTTTCTTCTTGTCGGATGCGTGTGGATGGATTACATTTGCCTTGTTTTCTCGGTTCACTGACGCTGCCTTTTGCTCTTCTCGGGTAAGTGTTCCCTTGAGGGTGAGCGTGCGTACGAGTGTGTGTGTGTGTGGGGGGGGGGGGTGAGGGGGAGTGTGTGTGTGTGGTGTGTGTTGTGTGGTGTGTGTGGTGTTGTGTGTGTGTGTGTGTGTGTGTGTGGTGTGTGTGTGTGTGTGTGTGTGTGTGTGGTGTGTGTGTGTGTGTGTGTGTGTGTCTGTGTGTGTGTGTGTTTTTATATGTATGAAAATGATTCTATTGAAGCGGTTGGGTCGTGAATCTGAGTTTATGTACAATATATCAAGCATATCTTTCTGCGCGTGGTCTAGTATATGAATACGTATTTGTATATGTTTATGAATATATACATATACTACGTATGTGTGCATGGATGTGTATGTAAACACATCTTCCTGTAACATACGTACACTGTGTACATGCCGTAGACGGAGAAAGGAAGCGCCACACACCGCGAGGCGTGTCTTTACGGCGGCCGTCGGAGGTAAGGTCAGCAAAGGTCCCCACACTTCGGGGATCAGATAAGTTCAGGGGGAGAAAAACGGGACGAAGGCGGAGGTAGGAGAGGGAAGAGAAGGGAGAGGGAGAAGAGAGGGTAGAGAGAGGGGAGATAGAAGGGGAGGAGGAGAGGGATAGAAGGGGAGATAGAGGGAGAGGAATAGAAAGGGAGAAAGGGAGAGGGAAGAGAAAGGGGAGATAGAAAGGGAGAGGGAAGAGAAAGGGGAGATAGAAAGGGAGAAAGGGAGAGGGAAGAGAAAGGGGAGATAGAAAGGGAAGGGGAGAAAAAGGGAGAGGAGAGGGAAGAGAGGACACGAGGACAAGAGAAGAAAAGAATTAGACAAGGTAAAAAATGGAATTTAAAAAAAAAGAAATTGCAAAGGGGGAAGGAAAATAATAGACAAAAGTAAAATAAGAAAACGGGAACTGTATAGAAGGAAAGAAAACTGTAGACGTATGAGGACAAAGAGGAAAATAACGAGAAGACAGAAAGAAAAGGAGGGAAACGCGCTGACAGGAAAGGATGAGGAGAAGGAAGAGGCAAGAGCAAAGAGCAGAGAGATAACGACTATAGAAGACGAAGAGGAAGGAGGGAAGGAAGGCGGGAGGAGGAGAGGAGGAGGAAGGCCGCGATATCAAGGACGCTAGATCTTGGCGCGCCTCCAACACGGTCCTGCATCACGGGAGGCGCTCCGGAGGAAGAGGGGGACGCGCTCAAGGAGAAGGGAGAGGGACTCGGGCGTGGGGGGGGAGGTGGGGGAGGGGCTGGAGGAGGGAGGGGTGGGAAGGGAGGGGGAGGGGGCGTGGAAAGGGGAGGTGGGGAGGGGCGTGGAAAAGGGAGGTGGGGAGGGGCGTGGAAAGGGGAGGTGGGGGAGGGGCGTGGAAAGGGGAGGGTGGGGAGGGAGAGGGAAAGGGCGGTGGAAGGGAGGGGGGGGAGGGGCGTGGAAAGGGAGGAGGGACTGGGTGGAAAGGGAGGGGGAGGGGCGTGGAAAGAAGGAGGGACTGGGTGGGGAAGGAAGAGGATTAGAGGAAGGGGCGTGGAAAGGAGGAGACTGGGTGGGAAGGGGGGGGATTGGCGTGGAAAAGGAGGAGGGGGGGAAGGGCGTGGAAAGGAGGGGAAGGTGGGAAGGCGTGGAAATGGGATGGACAGGGGAGGGGCGTTGAAAGGGAGGGACTGGTAGAAGGGGCGGAGGGGGGAGGATTGGATGGAGGGGCGTGGAAAAGGAGGAGGGGATGGGTGGGAAAGGAAGGGAGGAAGAGGTTCATGGAAAGGAGGAAGAACTTGGGCGGGGGGACGTGGAAAAAGAGTAGGGGTTGGTGGAGAGTGGCGTGAAAGGAGGAATGACTGGGAGAGTAGGGCGTGGAAAGGAGGAAGGATTGGGGGATGGGCGCAAAGGTAAACGGACTAGTAGGAGGGGCTTGAAAAGAAGGATGGACTGGGGGGAGGGGCATGGAAAGGAAGGGATGAAGAAGCATGGAAAGGAGGGGTTGGGGAGAGGGGCGTGGAAAAGAGGAAGGCACTGGAGGGGCGGCGTGGAAAGGAGTGACTAGAGGGAAGTGACGTGGGTAGGGGGGGGTGGAGGAGATGGGAGGGTATGGAAAGGAGGGTTTGAGGGGAAAGTCGGAGGGGGGAGCACGGAAAGAAGGGACTGGCGGGGGGCGGGGCGTGGAAAGGAGGAACCTCGTGAAGCAAAGGAGTAGAAAGGAGAGACTGGGGCGGGATGGGCGTGGAAACGAGGGACTGCTTAATGGAGAGTCGTGGAAAGGACTGTGGGCGGGAGCGGGGGCGAGAGTGGAGGGCGGGAAAGGGAGGACCAGCAGGCGGAGGGGGCGTATGGAGAGGAGAGAATGGTGGGCGTGAACAACGAAAGGAGGAACCGACGGGGGCGAAAAGAGTGGGAAAGGAAGAACTGAGACATCCAGGAGCGAGGGATGGGGACGCCAGGAGGTGGTAGGCCAGGTGGCCAGGGTGGAGGGCCATGGGGTGGGTGGCCAGGGGGTAGGAGGCCCAGGGGGTAGGAGGAGCCAGGGGGTAGGAGGGCCAGGGGGTAGGAGGGGGTAGGAGGCCCAGGGGGGAGGGGCCAGGGGTAGGAGACCCAGGGGTAGGAGGCCCAGGGGGTAGAGGGCCCAGGGGGTAGGAGGCCAGGGGGTAGGAGAGGCAGGGGGTAGGAGGCCCAGGGGGTAGGAGGGCCAGAGAAGAGAAGGCACCGGGCACAGGGGGAAGCGGAAGTACTCGGGCTGGAGAGGATGAACTATAGAGAGATGAAGTACTGGGGCGTGATAGAGGGGAGCTAATGATGCGGGGGGGGGGGGGGGGGGGGGGGGGGTACGGGAGTGACAGGAGGTCGGGAGGTGAGAAGGAGAGGGAGGAGGTCGGGAGGTGAGAGGGAGAGAGAGGAGGTCGGGAGGTGTAAGGAAGAGGGAGGAGGGGGAGGGAAGGGGAGAGGAGGGTCGGGAGGAGAGGGAAGAGGGAGGAGGTTGGGGGAGGTGAGAGGAGAGGGAGGAGGTCGGGAGGTGAGGAAGAGGGAGGAGGTCGGGAGGGAAGGAAGAGGGAGGAGGTCGGGAGGGGAAGGGAGAGGGAGGAGGTCGGGAGGTGAGAAGGAGAGGAGGAGGGAGGTGAGAGGGAGAGGGAGGTCGGGAGGGGAAGGGAGAGGGAGGAGGTCGGGAGGTGAGAAGAGGGAGAGGAAGGTCGGGAGGGGTAGGAGAGGGAGGAGGTTGGGAGGGAAGGAAGTATCGGGAAGAGGGAGGAGGTCGGGAGGGGAAGGGAGAGGGAGGAGGTCATGGACACAAATAACCGATAGATAACCTGAGATTTTTTCTCTCTCCTTTTCTCCCTTTTTTCAAAAAAGATATTCATCATATAAATAAGTATATACAGGAAATGACCGTAAGTGGTAGTGAGAGGTTTGGAATGGAACGAGAGAGAAGAAAATGGGAACTGAGAGAGAAAGATGGGACACTAGGAAAGGAAATAAAAAAATCATAACAAATATTTATAGCAGACGCGTCTCCAGGAGATATAACAACAACCTATCTGGAGGTAGAAGATGGGAGAGGAGGGGATGGAAGAGAAAGAGGGAGAGATAGAGGGATAAGTCAGGAGGATAGGGAGAAGGTGAATGAGTAGGGGAGATTGTGAGGAAGTAGATCTTTAAGAAAAAGGGAGTAAAAGGTAGAGAAAAAACACTAGTTAGAAAAGTATAAGCGGTTTGGAAGCAATAACGGATCCTATATGAACGTGGAAAAAGCAGCTAAAGAGTAAGAAAAGCCGACGATAAAGACGAAAACAAAAAGTGGAAGATTAAGATAAAGATAGAGTTCAGATAAAGAAAAAAAAGAGATAGGATGAATATAAAAATAGAAATAATGTGAAAACAAACGTGCAGATAGGAAAGAAAAGAGATAAGATGAAGATGAAAATAAAAATAATGTGAAAAGGAAGAAGATCAAACACAATAGGGATATGAAGGGCAAGGGGGTCACGAGGGAAAGACCGAAAGGAAAATCGTGATGTTCTTGAGCAATATTTCCGCGTCGGTGACATATTCGAACGAAGGTGCGAGAGGATGTAAAGAGAGAGAAAGAATAACAGGAAAAATCGGCAAATGAGAGAAAGAGAAAAGTAAAAGAAAGAAGGAATGACAAAGAACAAAAGAAAATGGACAATTTAAAGAAAGAGAAAAAAATAAAAGAAAGGAGGAAAGACAAAGAACACACAAGAAAATGGACAAATTAAAGAAAGAGAAAAAGAAATGAAAGAAAGGAATGACAAAGAACAAAGAACAAAAGAAAATGGTCAAATTAAAGAAAGAAAAAAAGAAATGAAAGAAAGGAATGACAAAGAACAAAGAACAAAAGAAAATGGTCAAATTAAAGAAAGAATAAAATAAAAGAAAGAAGGAATGATAAAGAACAAAGAACAAAAGAAAATGGACAAATTAAAGAAAGAGAAAAAGAAATGAAAGAAAGGAATGACAAAGAAAGAAAGGAATGACATGAAAGAACAAATGGAGAAAGAGAAAAAGAAATGAAAAAAGGAATGACAAAGAACAAAAGAAAATGGACAAATTAAAGAAAGAGAAAAAGAAATGAAAGAGAGGAATGACAAAGAACAAAGAACAAAAGAAAATGGACAAACTTGGGAAATAACTGAAGGCGTGACGAAATCGAAGAGCGAAAGAAAATATAGGATCGGGAATCCAAGGGAGTGAGAAGACTAGAGAAAAAAAAAATGAAAAAAAGAAAAATAAAGAAAGAAAGAGAGAAGAGAGAGGGGAAGAGGAAGAAAGGAGCGAGAGAGAGAAGAGAGGGAGAGAGAGAAGAGAGAGAGAGAGAGAGAGAGAGGAGAGAGAGAGAGAGGAGAGAGAGAGAGAGAGAGAGAGAAGAGAGAGAGAGAGAGAGAGAGAGAGAGAGAGAGAGAGAGAGAGAGAGAGAGAGAGAGAGAGAGAGAGAGAGAAGAGAGTAGAGAGAGAAAGAGAGAGAGAGAGGAGAGAAAGAAAGAGAGAGAGAAAAGAGAGAGAGAGAGAGAGAGAGAGAGAGAGAAGAGAGAGAGAGAGAGAGAGGAGGGGGGGGGGAGAGAAAAAAAGAGAGAAAGAAAAGAAAGAAGAGAGAGAAGAAAGAAGAAAAAAGAGAGAGAGAGAGAGAGAGAGAGAAAACAAGAAGAAAATGAGATCCGTGTCTGTTTATGCGCCGTCGACATTGGTGTGACTTCCGGAAGAAATATATGATCAGGAGACTCCGAGAAAATCATCAAGGGCCTGAGATGAGATGAGGCGGATGTAGGCAAGGAATAAAGAAAGTTTTAGGAGAAGGGACGAGAAGGTGTACGAGTGTGTGGGAGGCGGGGCAGGGTGTGTGTCTGTGGGCGTATGTATTTGTGTGTGGGGGGGCGTTGGTATTTGCGATGTGTTGTGTTGTGTGTGTGTGTGTGCGTGTGTTTGTGGGCGCATGTATTTGTGTGTGTGTTTGTGTATGTGGGGGCGTTGGTAAGTGCGTATGTGTTAGTGTTTGTGTGTGTGTGCGTGTGTACTTACGTGTGTGTTTGTGCGTTGTGCGTGTTGTGTGGCGTATGTAGTTTGTGTGTGTGTGTGTGTACTTACTTGTGTGTTTGTACGTGTGTGTGTGGGCGTATGTATTTATGTGTGTATGGGCGTTGGTATTTGCGTGTGTGTTTGTGTTTGTGTGTGTGTGCGTGTGTGTGTGTGTGTACTTACGTGTGTGTGCGTGTGCGTGTGTTGTTGTGCGTATGTGTTTGTGTTTGTGTGTGTGTGTGTGTGTGTGTTGTGTGTTTGTGTTGTGCGTGTGCGGGGAGACATAGTATTGCAGTGTCTGTATATCGGCGTATGTATTTACGTGTGTGTGTGTGGTGTACGTACATCCTGTATACTTCTTTACTTCCAGGCGTATATGAGTGTGCTTACACTTAAAAATATACACGTAACATTTTGAATAGGAGACTTAAAACCAAAAAATAAAATTCCCCCGTAAGATACGACGGGCGGGCGAAGGTATAAGACGATATTGGCGAGTGATGCAAAGTGCAAGAAGACGCGGCGAGTGAAACAGCTGTGATAGGGGTGAGTGCGAGTTGGGTTTCGAATGACGCGAGAAGCTCGAAGAGACTTAACCCCGGTTCTTGTGTGAGTCTGAGCGGAGACGAGCTACTCTTGGGCTCATCTATTATATCTATCTATCTATGTATCTCTCTCTCTCTCTCTCTCTCTCTCTCTCTCTCTCTCTCTCTCTCTCTCTCTCTCTCTCTCCTCTCTCTCTCTCTCTCTCTCTGCTCTTCTTCTCTCGCCTCTCGCTCTCTCTTTCTCTCTCTTTCTCTCTCTTTCTCTCTTGCTCTCTCTTGCTCTCTCTCGGTCTCTCTCGCTCTCTCCTCTCTCGCTCATTTTCTAGTTACACTTTTTTCCTTTTTTTATTCGGGCTTATTTATTTGTTATTATTTTTTTTTCTTCTTCTTTCTTTTTTTTTCTTATCATTTATCACTATTTCTTCTTATTCTTTCTTATTTCTCATTTCTTTTCTCTATTTTCTATTTTCTTTTGGTCTTTTTCTTCCTACTTGTCTTTCTTTTCAACATCATCATCTATGTTATCATTGTTATCATCATTATTGTTATCACTGTCATTATCGTTATTTAATTACTATTACTGCCGATTATTTATTATCATTATTATTTTTTAATCATTTATTATTAATATAATGTTATTATTATCGTTATTATTATAATCATTATTATTTATTATTGTTTGTTGTGTTTGTTATTATCATATATATTAATCATATTATTGTTATTTATGTTTATTTATTATTATTATTTATTATGTTATATTATCATTATATTATTATCATTGCTGTTATTATTATCCTCTGTTATTAATTTCCCCTTCTTTTTCTCTTCCCGTTTTCATTCTCTCTTCCTTCTTCTCGCTTGTCGTCTTTATATTTTCTTATCTTCTATCCTCTCTTCCTCTCTGTCACTTTTTATTTTTATTTCTCGTTCTCATCATCTTTTACCCCCTTCTCCTCCTCCTCTTCTTCCTCCAGTCTTTTCCTTTTTCTTCTGCTCCTCCTTCAACCCTTCCCCTTCCTCCCTCATCCTCTTTGCCTCGTTCCTTTTTCTCTCTTCCTCCTCCTCCTCCTCTTCCCCCTTCTTCTCCGCCTTCTCCTCCTCTTCCTCCTCCTCCTTATCCTCCTCCCCTATCCCTTCTTCACTATCTCCCATTTAGCGGAAGGTAAA